CGCTCCCCAAGTCGGCTTTGGGGAAGGGGCAGGACAAGCGCTGCCCCCTTCCTCTTCCACGCCTGGCTCAGATGCAAAAGACGAAGGACCCCGAAACGGGCGCGGCCCCCTTCCCACCGCGCCTGCGAACGAAACGCGGCGCTCCGGTTTCGTCTCCGCTCCGAGCCGGGCGCCTCGGTGCCGTCCCAGCGCCGCACACGGCGGGATGGCTCTGGACGGTGCCAGAGAAACGGCGGTGTAAACTGGAAGACGTTAGGAGGAGGTTTTCAACCCGTTCGTGGCCCCCTCGAGACCCGGCCGTGCCCACGCCGGCTGTCAGGCTCTGCCGGGCACCAGATGTTCGGCTTCAGTTGCTGCATCTGAGACATAAAATACCCTTTTTTAAAAATAAAGGAATCCCTGGCCTTTAACCGACAGAGACTTCCCTGTTTGTCCCCTCGGTCCTCGGCATATCTTTTTGGTTGGCAGCAAAATCCTTCTCCTTTTGTGTAACCCCGTCTACGTTCCCTGTATCCTGCAGTTTGGCAGAAACCACTGCTTTTTTATAGCCTTTTTTTAATTGCATTTTATTACCTTATTTCTACAGTTTGGGCTAGGGAGCAGGCCGAGTAGGTTTGCACCTAACTCAATCAGAAATGCAGCTTTTATAAGCCGCGCACCTCATTTATCCGATGGTTTATGGAGCCGTTCCTTTGCCCCGTCTTTTTTTTTTATGCTCCAGCTTTTACGTTCTTTTTATCTTTTGGGGTTTTGGATGAAATCAGCCCAGATCCTTGGTTTGCGGGCACTAAAGGTCTGGTGGGATTTTCCGCGAGGAATTCAAACTTTTGGCAACTCAGCTTGCTCGGCAGTCTCAATGGTGCTTCGAACCTTCTACAATAATTTGAGGGATTAAATTTTAGCAGACAATCTTAATATGCAACGTTTGAAAATAATGGTTGTTATAATGATGATTTCTTTTATTTCTCAGGGTGTCACGGAAGGCTACAACGGGACTATCTTTGCCTATGGCCAGACTGGCAGCGGGAAGTCATTTACCATGCAGGGCGTCGCAGACCCCCCTGCGCAGAGAGGCATTATTCCCAGAGCGTTTGAACACATTTTTGAGAGTGTACAGGTATGTCATGACATGAAGGGACTACTGCAATATTAAAGACAGGCTGCTAATCTAGCTATTTCCTACTAGACTTTCCAGGGGTGCTTATCATTATAGTATCTCAGCCCTGCAAGCACCAAGTCATTCTTTCCCATTTTTCAGTTGGGGAAACAAAGCACAGAAAGAGGGGATGACTTCTCCCAGATTGCACAGGAAGTCTGGCATAAAAGCCAGTATCTCCTGCAACCCTGTCCAGTGGTTGAACCACAAAATCACTTTCTTAACCATCAAGACATCAGTAAGCTAGTAGACAGCTAACTGGTCAATACCGTTGCATGGCGAGTACCTACGCGCTGCACGTGACTCTGACTGGCTGAGCATCCATTATGTGTCTTAGTGGGGATAAGGACAGGCCAACAGAGCCATTGAGATCTGGGATTTAGGTATTGTTTCTAGTTCTACCGCTACGTGACTTTTGGAAAATCACTGTTTCTCACTCTGCCCATCAGGAAAATTAGGCAGGGCTCCACATGTACCTTGAGTATTATGTGCTCACCAACTGATCAAAGTGCACTCTGGCCATAATCCCCACTTCTCCCCAGCTCAGGAGCTTGCAGGGGAGGGGAAAGACTCACTCCCCGGGGTCTGGAGCTGTGCAAAATCAGGGTCTCTCTAGAGCTAGCACTGATTTTTGGCAAGCGCTCGCAGCACAGCTGAGGTCTGGCAGAAGCTACACTGACTTACAAGCTCAGAGCTCGCTGTGCACGTGCCACACAGCCCGGGGTGGGGGCTGTGACTACAATCGCCTTGTCTGCACCCTGGATCCACCCATGCCTGACTCCCAAGGGTTCTGAGGTTGATTGATGCTTAATTCCCAAGGGAGTATGCGGTTTCATTCATTAATGTTTGTAAAGTGCCGGGGAACCTTTTATTGAACCATAGCTGAGAATGTAAGAACATGAGAGAGACCATGCTGGGTCAGAGCACGTAAGCCATCTGGCCTGCTAGCCTGTATCTCACAGCAGAAAAGGGAAGATGGTAAGGGGAAGAGTCTAGAGCCTCTCCAGACTGCTCTACGTATTGCCTCTCTTCTGTTATAGCTTCCAGCGTTCAGAAGCCTAGGGAACCCTCATATGGAGTTTGCAACCCTACTTTTATGTTTCATTCCCACTGTTGGACCCATCCTGCATGGATTTGTTTCTTTTGCACCTGGTTAAAATATCAGCCTCTACATCTTGAACTTTATTAAACACCCTGACAAAGAACTTCCTTGTTGTTTGTTTTAAATTGGCTCGCTAATAATTTCATTGTACATTCCCTTGCTCTAGGATTGTGAGAGATGATAAATCCCTACTTTCTTTCTCCACACACACCGCTAATTATTTAATAGTTCTCTCTCATACCTCTCTCACAGGCATTTTCTTCTAAGCTGAAGAGTTCTAACCTCTCCTCAGACGGCAGCCTCTCCATACCTCTGATCATCCTTGTTGCCCTTTTCTGTAGTTTTCTAGTTCTGCTCCACCCCTTGGAGGTGAGGGGGACCAGAAATGCACACAGTATTCAAGGTGTGGTTATACCATTGAAGGGGAAGATACTGGGGGTTTTACCCCAAATGATACAGTAAAACATCTTGGTGCGGACTGTTGAATAGAAGGTTTTATTTCTCTCTCCCTAGGTATTTATCAACGTAGCCAAACGCACTGTGTTAGGCCTGTATTTTCTATTTCTGTATGCTGTACAAGTAGAGTCTATACCCTGAGAATTCCTTTGTATTAAATAATTGTTCTGGAAAATAGGCGTGGGTGCTAAAGGAGGTTAGGCACCCAACTTCCACTGAAAGTCAGTAGGAGTGAGGTGGTCATCTCCCTTAGACATTTTTGAAACTCTTACCCTAAGATCCCATCTCTTTATTTTGTACAGTGTGCCGAAAACACCAAGTTCTTGGTAAGAGCCTCTTACCTGGAGATCTACAATGAAGACATCAGAGATCTGCTAGGTGCTGACACCAAGCAAAAGCTGGAGGTAGGGAGACTGGAGGAGGATGTGCTTTAATTTACTGACTGCTGTTATCACTAATTCCTAATAGAAGTGGGCAACTTATCAGAAACTTGGGCGGAAGCTGAAACAAAAAGCATTTGGGATGTGACAAAAGCTGTTGTAATTACATTTAGTGAGTTTTATCTACAGTCTTCAAACATTGTGCTTGATTGCTTAAGACTGAGGTTTGAATTCACTATTGTGTGTAAAAGTAGAACACGCTTCAACTCCAGGCTGAAAGGAATTAACAGCCACTATATTTAAACCCTTATCCAAAGAGTAGACTCCACTGCTCTCTGCAGATTATCTTGAAAAATACTAATTTTTGATGGGGGCTTTTGGACCATACACTCCCAAGACAAAACCTGCTTCTGTTATTTGAGATATGCATTAGGATCGACATGAATGAACGTGAGAATAGCTGGGATTGGCTCTTGTGATCAGTTAAAAATGCAATACAAGATTCATTGCAAAAGCACAATGGTGGCACATTTCTCTCGTGCTCTAGTACATATGCAAATTATGCATGTGCGCGCACGCACACCTGGTGAGGGGAGGTCCTGGCCTTGCTCTCCTGGAAGCATATGTTCTTGTGTGTGTGTGTACATGTGCGCGCACATTCCTTTTGAAAATGCGTGCTTGAGTTGGAGTCCTAGTTGGCAGTGGCTGGATTGGGCCAAACCAAAGAGAGAGTACCAGCTCCCAATTGCCACCATCACTGGAAATGTGTGGTCATCACTAAGGTTATTTTAATTTTAGTTCTTGTACAAACAACAGATCTTCAGAAATGCAAATTAGGTGCCTTATTTCTGCTCTGAATGCGTCTAGCCTCAGCTTCTCAGTCTTCAATTTCATTATGCCATCGTGTGCTAAGTTAAATAGATATCTGCTATCAGAATTTTTCTCCCCTTATAGGTTCTTGCGGACCCTGATGATCAGTCACCTTTTAATTTTCTCTTTGATGTTCTAAATGGGTTGTCTCTCTTTTGCATGGTGCTTTGAGGCAGGCTTCCCACTCCTTGAATCATTCTTGTAGTTCTTTTCTGAACCTTTTACAGTTTGTCAACAGCTTTTGAAGTGTGGGCAGTGAAACAGGAAATAACAATCTTATTACAGTGTAGACAATGGTTAAATACCTCTCTGCTTTTGCTTACTATTCCCTGATGTATTCTTCCAGTGTTCTCATTAATGCAGTGTTGTGGCTGAACGCTGTGAATTCATGTTAAATTGATTATTCAGCATGACCCCAAAGCTATGTCCTGCTTTCCAGGAGTACCCATTGTACCAGTGAGACTTGAATGTTGGTTCCTAAGCGTGTGGCCTTAAATTTAGTTGTATCAAATCATGTCTTGCTGTAGCTTAATCTGCAGTTCAGACTGCCCTTTTGAACTGACTCGTTCTTACAACTGTTCCCGCACTCATGGCAATAGTACTGTTTTCTTACGTAGCAGCAGTGTCGTTCCTAAAGATAATGAATAGTATTGGGCCAAGAACAGAAGATTCCTGAGGAGCCTCATTAGAAAGTCCTGGTGAGATGATGACTCCTACCTTCCCCAGATCCATTTACAATTATTATTTTGGGGATCTCTCAGCCTGTGTGGGTAAAGAATGCAGGACTGGGCCCACACATCGTGTCTTGTTTCCTAGAGATGGGAACCTGTCTTAACACTACCGAGTGGCATGAGGAGAGGCAGAAAGCTGAACATGGAAGTATGGGAGGAAGGGATCCAGAAAAGTGATACAGAAGATCATAGGAAGTGGAAGGGAAAGATATAATGAGAGCAGGGTCATAAGTGGGAGAAGGAGTGCACAGAGCCTGAAGGCAAGGGTGAATTGGTTCCTGAGGAAGGAGAGGGAAGGCAGAGATGGGAATTTGCAGACAAATGTTAGGCTACTACAAGTTAGGAGCACATTCTTTGTGGCCCGCTGATTTGGTCCAGCGTGACAGTTCCTTTCTGAGAAGTGGTAGGAAACCCACTAGTGAGCAATGACTGCCCTTTGGGGAAGTTTCTTCTTAGCCTTCCTCAATTAGCAGTTGGTTTTTGGCTTGAAGCAAAAGGGATTTTGTCCCTTTTAATCCCAAAAGTTTTAATCCAGTCTGAAGTCCCCGTGGGTGATTATATTGGATGCGTTTACACGTTCATTAATGCACCATAATTACGGCGCATTTGGTACCTGTAATAAGAGGTGCTAACTTAATGCACCGTAATCGGTGCTACCGCACATTAGCGCAGATTAACTCTTTTTAGGGACACTTAATGCCCATTGGACTAATCAACTGCACATTAGCCTATCAGCACAGTTTTTGCCAGCTGCACTAATGCGTAGTAGAATTAGTCCAGTGGGCATAAAGCATCTTGTGTAGACATGACCATTATCTGTTGAGACAAAAATGGCAAAAAAATCCCAGGGCATGACAGATGCATCTCCCTATCGGACGCATGGGACAGACGGATAGTTTCAAAGGTGTAGTAAGGTAAATTCTATTAAAATCATAATCAAGAAGTTGATTGCTTTATAGTAACAGAATTTGCCTTATGGTAGCTTTGCACATCTCTGCTCTTCTTTTCTCATATATTCCTTTAGGGAGCTGCATATCTTCTGTCCTCATTTACTTGCCAGCAGGTTAGCCAGTACGTGGAAAACCAAGGCACTAGCACCATCTGCTGCACAGAAATGCCAACATGGTGGCAAGCATTTGGTGGGTCCCTGTCCCCCAAGGTCTCTGGCCTTGTCAAGGCAGGGTCCCTGTTGGTCTTGCCTTTGCTTCACCCTGTGCATTGTGTGTGTGTGTGTGTGTGTGTGTGTGTGTGTGTGTGGGTGGGTGGGTCGGTGTGCGTGTTGCAAGAACAGGGATTCACTATTTTTGAAATGGCTTCCTGCACTTTTTTGTTCTTTGTTCCACATCAACAGTGACATTGGTTTCCATGACAACTGCAGTTGGCACTAGGAGGGCAGTGCATGGGCAGAACTGTTCCCATAGTAACACAGTCACGCTGGTGACAGCCGCTGGCTGTTGCTGCTTTTATGGAGGAATTCAATGTCCTGCGGAGACACAAATCTCAGGCCGACCTGCTGCTTCCTGCTGCCCCCTGGAGTCAAACAGCCCTTCTCCTGAATCCCGTTTGCATTATTACATGTACTTATTTCTTGCTAACCTCGGTGACTCCTGGCCAGTCCTGCACCCCATCCCAGAGATTCATGGTCACTTGCTGTGCAACGCAGCCCTGCAGAGAATGAACCTTACTGAGCTCTGTTAGGAAAACAACCCACCCCAGGTAGAGCTCAGTGCTTTTTGCAGTCCCCCACCCTTGTGGACATCATACCTCCCTTGCAGCAAGGTCATGCCGTCCTTTCACATGGTCAGTGTCACGGCAGGGTCCTGCAGGAGGGCCGTGATCTCCTTGAGGCCCCCTCTCTGTGTCAAGTCGGCCCAAGGGCACCCTCTATTCTCGCCCGCCACGTCTTTGATCTTAAGTTAAGTTGGGAGGCTGCCTTATGCCCTCTTGGACATGTAGACTCCTGGACCCCTCGTGGATCTTGTCCAGCACAAATGGGTGCTTCGGGGCACCCTAGCCTTATGGGCTACGCGTGGCTCCAACCACCCCTGATACCACGCCCCAAGCCTCGCAGATGGGATAGACGTTGTTTTGTCTCTCTACGTACGCTGACGCCCCCTCCTGGGGCTCTCCTTGCCCACTCCGGGCCTTTTCTGCGTGGTCACCCCGTCGGGGCCTTCTCAATAGTGCCCTCTCTCGGGGCCTTCTCTGTGCTGTTGCCTCCTGTCGGGGCCTTCTCGATAGTGCCCCCCACTCTGGGGCCTTCTCTGCGCTGTTGCCTCCTGTCGGGGCCTTCTCAATAGTGCCCCCCACTCTGGGGCTTGCTGCTCCCGCACCGGGGCTTCTCGATAATGCCCCCCACTCTGGGGCTTGCTGCGCCCGCACCGGGGCTTGCTTAAAAAGGCTGCCCCTCTCTGGGGCTGGGGTCTAAGCACCCCGTAAGCTGCGCCCTCCTGGGCACCAGGGTCCTCACACTCCGCTGTGAGTCCCCAATGAGGATACTGCTCCCTCACTGGTGCTGGGGCCCCCACACCACTGTGGGTCCCTATGAGACTACTGCACCCTCACTGGCACCGGGGTTCTCACACTCTGTTGTGAGTCCCCGATGAGGCCTCCTCCAACCCCTTATAGCCTCACCCAAACCACCGGTGTAATAACAAAACAAGAACACAAGCCCCTAGGCTACTACATAACTATAAGCCGCCTGGCTGTAACCACAATGCTCCGACATCTTAGAGCTGCCTTCTGTTATCTGGCTTAGGCAGTACCTGCAGGTCTCACTGCTTCTCACATCTCTACTCCAGGAACTCCTACCCCTCTGGCTGCTGGCAGGGAACTGCCAGCTTGGCCTCAGCCCTGGGCTTTATAAGAGCCAGGCTCTGCCTCCTACAGGCAGCTGACCGCTGGCAGGTGTGGGTCATTTGCTCCCTCCAGTTGCCCTGGCAACCCACAGGTGGGCTCCTATTCCCTGCTAGGGCTCTTTATGCACTGCCAGAACTTTTCCTCTGGCAGTTTCTGCCCCCTAGGAGCAGGGCACCTCAGTGTTCTGCAACAGTCAGAAATGAGTTTGAAGAGGACTTGCCTTGCCAGGATCTGGTACTTTCATCATGGACTTAGTCTCTGCAGCACTGGCAGCTTCAGTCCTTGCAATCATCTGCTTCTAGCATAATGCATATAAAAACAATCTTATAGATTGAACCTACGTTTGATCCTGTAACTGAGTTAATCCAAGGCAAATCATGATTTTAGGTTGGTTGGTTACAGAAACTGCCTAAGGTCCCCTCTGTATTATAACTTTAAATCTCTTGTAACCTAGTTCAAAGAATCATAGAAAATGATAGAATCATAGAAAATTAGGGTTGGAAGGGATCTCAGGAGATCTGTCTCATAGCACATTTGTTCTCTTCTTTGTAGTTTCTGACAGTGCATTTATCTCAGTAACGTTTCAGTGTTTCCAGGAGTTCCCTAAGCAGCACACCTAACATCTGCCATATGTTTGATACTAGGTCTGAACAACCATATTGTAGCATGGTCCCTCTAACTTAGTTGTAGGGCAGTGCAGACAGAGCCTTAGTTGTGAACTCAAATTACATTGGTTATAGTTGGCTGATAATAATTTAAAACCCATATAAAGTCCCAGTGGAATCCAGTGTTGTTTTTGTGAACCTTGGGGGCAGCCTTTTGATATTTTTCCCCCGTATTTTTATATAAATCTGATAGGTCATTCTAGAGCCCACAAGAAAACCATGTATTTTATTAACAGCTTTTATTAAGCTGCTCCAAGCAGGGCTATTAATTACTGAAAACATAACATACTTAGGGGCATCCCCTCCCAGACTCCAAAGTAAGCTTTTGGAGCCACTAGGGGCATGGCTAACCCTGAGAGAGGGTAGTCCAGGTTTGACAGATGTCCTGTACCTGATAGGAAGGACTTCAGCAATTTAATTAAGGCCATATGAACATCCGTGCAGTGCATAGGGGAATCACTAAAGCACTTAGTAACACTATTTTTTTACTGTTGAAGCTTTGCCTTGATGTAATGAACTGCCTATAACCAGAGATACAACAGAGATTTTCTGCAGCATATAAAAAACCACTACCGCTGTTTTTAATAATAAATATTTTAATATTTAATATTAAATAATAATATGTTTTAACATTAAAAATCTCAGGCAGATATAGGGCAGTGAAGCAGGGTACAATGTGGCCCTGAAGATGCCTGAACTAGTCAGCAAACTGGACTTGAATTCTGGTCAGTTATAGAATCATGAAGAGTTTTTGGGAGGGAGATTTATTCATACTTCAGAAATTGTTAATGTGTTTGGTTAAAGCCAAATACAGCTGCCTGCTGGTGTTACAGCAATTTGATGGGGTATGCCAGTGCTGATGATCACCTACTGAGTGCTCCTGGCTCTCTGAAATTCCTGGAAGTTGTGGTGCTCAGCAGGTTCAAAACACTTCTGAGGATATGCCTCACTCTGGTGTTTAGCAGCCAGCAGTGGGATTTTTGTGTAGTGCAATTATGTGCGTAAATGCCTTTTCCTTCTTTTATATGCAAAGCATGTGCCGCCCTTGGGCTCCACGTTTCCATTGTGGCCCTGTGTAACCTGTGTTGTGTTGTTCTGCCCACAGCTGAAGGAGCACCCAGAGAAAGGGGTATACGTGAAGGGACTCTCTCTACACACAGTACACAACGTGACCCAGTGCGAGCGTATCATGGAAATAGGCTGGAGGAACCGATCAGTGGGCTATACGCTGATGAACAAGGATTCTTCCCGCTCCCATTCCATCTTTACCATCAACATGGAAATTTACACTGTAGGTAGGTGCTAGATTCCCTGGGGCTGGCCTGGGCAAGTGGAGCACTGAACCAGCCTGTGCAATCTGGCCAACGAACCCCAAAGAGAAACTCAGTTCTAAGTGATTTTAAGTCTAGACATGAGAACTGTGCCTCGGTACCAGCATTCTCTATAGTATTAAATAACTGAGAAGTCGTGCATGTTTTGCATCTCCCTGGGAGGCAGGGGAGGACAGTGCGTATCCTCTATACTGGTTTGGAGCATATTTCCCCCTCCTTCTGTTTCTTTATCTTCTAAAATCTTTATTTGTTGCTAGTGAAAGGTGCTGGGTGGATTGTCAGCCCTGGAGCCTGAAGTCTACATGTACTTACACTTGGAGTTCATTAGATTATGTTATTAGAATATTATTATTAGAATCTAGATTCACTAGATTATAAGGACTGAAGGAACCACATCTCTCATCTCTCTGGTCTGACTGTTTTCATAATATAAACCTAAAAATTTCAACCAGTGATTCCTGCATTTAGCTTATAATGTGCAGTTGAATTAGGAAATGTCTTTTAGACCAGGGCTGTTTGGCTGGCAGTCTGTGGGCTGCGTATGGCCTGCAAGGGATTAATTTGCGGCCTCCAAGCTCTTGTTTGGGCACCACGCTCCATTGCTCTTCAAGCTGCTGCCACCAGTGTCTCCCCCTCCTTCCTCTAGCTTCTGCTTCCTGCCTCTGCCCCTGTGGGTAGGTGGTGTGACTTTAGGGTCCAGGAAGCCTGGAGCTCAGGAGACCCATGTGACATTCAGCTCAGGGGTGCTATACCCAGTGCAGGGGTAACCCATGGGCCAAGGGCCCCCAGCCACTCTGAAGTTGGATAGCCTTGTTGTAGACAAACATTTGATTTTGGTTTAAACACTTGAGATGCAGACTAATTACCTTCTCTATTTAAAAAAATGCATCTTATTTCCAGTTTGCTTCTTGCGATTGAAATTTCATTAGCAGATAAAGCGCAGACAGCAACAAAGTAAGCTGCCCCTGTCTGTCACCTTGCCATTTTGCCTCAACCCTTATCTCTGGGTTTGAGAAAGGAATTCAGTCCCCTACGCTCCATTCAGTCCTTGGTCCCAGCTAAGGCTACTGCATCCATTTCCTTTATATCTGAAAATGGAAATTTTAATTGGTTTCAATGTGACAACTAATAAAAGCAGCACTGTGGCCTCTCTGAGTTATTTTGAAATTCAGTTCAGCACATTTTATGCTGTCCTCACTTTTAATTTTTTTTTTATTCACCTCAAAAATTTTTACTGACAATCCAGAACAGTTTGATGGATGATAGAAGGAAGCATACATTTTTGGCAGCTGTGTAAAGGGATGGCTGAGGTAGAGAGAATAAATTTAGGATTGTGGCACCTCATTAGTTGGACATCTTTGCTAAAATGATCCTGGGTTGAAATAATTAACAAACCTGATATTTAAAATTGTGTGACATTTTAAATGAAATACTTAAAATGTTTAGGCTGCACACTTGATACCCCACTGTGGAGAGTAAGGAAGTTCAAATTGTCTGCAGTCTTCAAAAGAATACGTGTATGAAGAGTTAGTATATTTTTAGGTTCCCTTCACAACCATAAGGTCTACAAACCTTCAAATTAAGGTTTGAGTTGTGCAAGAGAAGTGTGGCAGATCGTGTAATTCAGCATACACAAGCCCCTGATCATTAGCTCTCTCTGAGCATTCAGAAGAGCAGCTGTTTTTCTTTTAAAATTGTGTTTGGGAGCTGAAAAGATGGAAAAAGTTTTAGGTTTGGCTCATGCTTGTGCTGCCAGAAATGGTTGATGCAATAAAAGAGAACTAGCTAATAGCAGCCCAACTTTCTAGCTTGCTGCAGGCATTTTAGCAACAGTCTGGGGACCTTGTTACACTATGGAAACTAAACTACTAAATGTACTGATTGGGACAAACAATCTCCTTGGGTACAATTACTGGCAGGAGCCAAAACAACTTTTAATTGCCAATCAGTATTTATCTAAATGTGGGAAAATTCTTCTCAGTGTCCATTTGTCCCAGCTCTCAAAAGGGACAATAAAGCAGGGTGGGTTCTATTAAACTCCGTCTGTTACTTCCAAGTTTTCCCACAATCTCTAAGCTACCAGAAAGATCTGAAATGAAACAGTCAGCAGTGTTTTCTGTTGTAATGACTGGGGTTCATTGATCTGAATAGTCTGTTAACTTCTTAGTGATCCATGCATTCATGTTTAGGAAGTTTTCTTCACATGGCTGGAAACTTTATTTTTTAATTAAAGCTTAGGTTTTCCAAAAGTTGGTGGGTAACTGGAAAAGTGCTGCTAGTTCAGTTGAATCTTTGATACACCTCTTATGAACTGTGTGCTCTTCTGAAGGCCTGTGGCTAATTTTATCTGTGCTATGATGTCTGAGAGTAGCAGTTGAGAGGAAGCATGGTCCAGAACCTGGTGTGCTAATTTAGGGTTTGGAAGACTCAAGTTCAGCTCAATATGCTGCTGTCCATAAGCCCTGGTACTCCAGAGAGTTGGGTGATTTGGAAGGGATGCTGAAAGAATGGGAGTCAAATGAACCCGAGGAAGGGGTATTCTTCCATGCGTGCTTAGGGGCTTTGGGGTCTGGTTTGGATTGAAACCCGCACAGTAATCTCCTGAGAGTGTCCCTACCCCACTGACTCTGATTCTCATTTCAGTTCTCCTTTGCCTCTACCCCCTCACTTCTCTCCCTCTGTCTGACCATCATTATTTAACTCTGCAAAACATTTTAGATGAATCAGCTTGTATGAAAGAAAGTACAAGGTAAGGGTCTGACTTGTGGGTGCCAGGTGTCTCCTATGCCCATTCATGTTCCACTGAAGTCTGTGGGAGGTGGGAGTTCTCAGGTCCTCCCATATCAGAACCTCACAAGACATAAGAAGTTCTGCTGTGTCCTCTGGGAGCTCAGGCTCGGATTTAGCAAAGCATTTAAGGATGTAACTTCAATTGGACTTAATATTGTGGTTAAAGTTAAGCCCATGTAACTTTGCTGAGCTTGAGCCTATGCACAGACAAAGGCTATGGTTTGAATTGAAACACGATGCCAAAGAGTAAGAGGTCTGCTCTTGGATTGGTTAAGATGCTTCCTGTTAAAAAGAACCTAATCTCAAATTATTTTCTTGCAGATGAGAGAGGACAAGATCACCTCAGGGCTGCAAAGCTCAACCTGGTGGATCTAGCTGGAAGCGAGAGGCAATCCAAAACTGGAGCCACAGGGGAGCGACTCAAAGAGGCCACCAAAATTAACCTCTCTCTTTCAGCCCTGGGCAATGTCATCTCAGCCCTGGTAGACAGCAGGTGCAAACACATCCCCTATCGAGACTCCAAGCTGACCCGGTTACTGCAGGACTCCCTTGGGGGAAACACCAAGACACTCATGGTGGCCTGCGTGTCTCCTGCTGATAACAACTATGACGAGACCCTCAGCACTTTACGCTATGCCAATCGAGCAAAGAACATCAAGAACAAGCCCCGTATCAATGAGGATCCCAAAGATGCTCTGATGAGGGAGTATCAGGAAGAAATTAAGAAGCTGAGGGCCATTTTGGCTCAACAGATGAACCCTAATAACTTGTCAGGTAGGATGTCCTTGAGCTGCTCCAGAGGTGCATTGTCATTGGCCAGAAAAAAATGCTACTTTAACATACGGAGTGCATGTTGGGATTTTGCCTCAGCCCACCCTCCTACTGATTCTGGGGCAACTTTGCTTTAAGCCCAGCCAGGCAGAATCATCTTTTGGGGTAATTAGGGTGGGAACAGTCTTTTTCCTGAGTAGGGAAACTGCCCATGTTAGGAAGAGTCTTTACAGCAGAGATTTATTCTTCCTACTCCTTGATAGAGGCAGCCTCTGGTATAATGGAGACCAAGTAATGTCTGTGCCTCCTTCCCACTGATTTTCCTCTACTCCTGGGCCTGAGGTTTTGTTAGATGCCTCATTCCCCACCCCTCTCCCCTCCCCTTACCCCTGCACCCCCACTGACTCTTGCATTAAGTGGCCTCATCTCCTTCATTGACATACAGGTGTGTCATCTCTTTTCCCCATCGGGACTGCTCAGCTGGAAGTGAAACCAGCACCCTTCCCTGAACCCCAGACAGATGTTGAGGCGGAGAAGCAGCTGATCCGAAAAGTAAGTCAAGGAGGGGTGACTCCCAGGTCTTCTGCTGAGGTTCATCCACTTCTGTAGTACTCAGTACAGACACAATGCAGAGTGGTGCTGTACAACCTTCTCAGGACAGCTCTGCTCATAACCTGTAGCCTCATTTCTTGTTCCATCTTGCTTTGGAGATGGGGATGGAAGAGGCTTTCCAATAAGGTTCAGTGGACATTGTAGGAGTTCCTTAGTTTTGAATACTCCCTGCTCTTCCACTGCTTGATTCCCAGTCTTCAAAGGGGCCAGAGAATCCAATCTGTCCAAATATTGGGTCAAATTCTAAGGTTTGAATTTGCTGTCTGCTTTGTTCAATGTTGTTGATTGTTCAAATGATCGTTAGCAATAGAGAACGTCTCATCTCTACTGGTGGACCTAACTCAGAGGTGGGCAAAATGCGGCTCGTGGGCCGCATGTGGCCCGCCAGGCCATTCTATCTGGCCTGCTGGGCCCCTAAAAAATTTAGAAAAGTAATATTTATCTGTCCCTGGCTGCCTGTCATGTGGCCCTCGATGGCTTGCCAAAACTCAGTAAGTGGCCCTCTGCCTGAAATAATTGCCCGCCCCTGTTCTAACTTGAACAGATTTGGAAGTACCGTAATGTGTTATGATCTTGATAACATTTGATATGTGGCACATCTGACACAAAGCTGCTTCCCTCCTTACTCTTTC